AAAATTAAAAAAAAAAAAAAAGCTTGTCATTGTTTACAACTGAAACAGCCATTCTGACCTTGCACAAGATGTTGAACTTCTAAGTCTGCATCTATTTGAAACAAGTATAATAATATTTGCTTCATGGCTTTTAGGTGGCCCATGGGTGGGCAGGAAGAGATCACACACTAGCAAATGCTAGGTTTTCCTATTTTCTAAAGAATGAGTAATTCCAAACGAAGCAAGGTAGCCACGCAGAGCAGAAGCAGCCATGGGCCTGGCCCTGAGTTCTTGAAGCTCCGTGCCTGCAGAAGGTGCTCTCTGCCAGTAGCAGGTCTCACCAGGCATCAGAACCTTTGTTGCTCAACTGTCCTTTCACACTGTTTTCAGAAGGGCTTTCTGCTTTGGGGGCTTCCACTCAGGAGCGTATTTATCAGCATCAGTACTGGTCCAGGGACCGAGTTCTGCATGAGTTCTACCTCCTCGCACAAAGAAAAATGCGCAACTTGTCTCCACATGTTTCTAACTGATGCATTTCCCAGTTCGCTGCCTGGAATCTACCTCTTCATGTCAGATCAGCATTGTTGTGTATTATGTGGATGTTGTGGTCAGGCATGAAATTAAGTAAATGGGAGAAGTTGCTGTCATTGTTGCCTGACCATAGATACATGATTGTCATGTGTTGGCATGATCTGTTAATATTATTAGAAACCCATGTAGACTTCATATCTTACTGTAATTTTGAGGGCTTTAAAGGTCTTATCCTCTAAACCCTCTTTCTGATTGGTTGTGCATGACTGTCAGTGCTGGTTACCTACTGAATAGACCAGTTTGGGACTGATTTTATGTACAACTGACCGACCATGCATGCTGGTTAGACATCGCTAGTGCCTCGCACGTCCTCTTTTCATCTAGTACTATTTAGCTCATTTGTACTTGTTTTTAGTCTCGTTTTCTGAGATTCCAAGGCAGGATTAACAGAGAACATATCCTCAAGAGCTTCTAATCTCAGTGCATGTCTAACCCTTATAAAAGGGAGCAGGAAGAACAATTGACTAGAAACACATCAGATTGTAGCAGCCCTAAGAAAGTCCATCTGGGCCTGTTGGGAATCGGGAGCCAAAGGTATCCTTCAGATGACTCCGTCATCCTCAGGAATGGACCTCAGAGTGCTGCCCTGTCCTGTCGCTGTCTGAAAGCAGTCTGTAAGAGGGCATAACCTGTGCACCGGGTGATTGGACCCAGGTTGTGGCAGCTGAGCTTCTAAGTCACACAATGTAGATGGGACATAGGTGATAGAAACTCCCAGCCTGCTAGGTATCTGGGATGAGTTTGTGTTCTCTGCAGTGGAAAACTTAGTTTTACAAACAATGAAGGTTAAGAGCAGAATATATTTATTGAGGGAAAGAAAGCTTCTGTCCAAAAGAGGGACAGAAAGGGACCCAAGTAGGTTGCCAAGGAACCTCCCTTTTCTAGAGATTTTTATAGAGCAAAACCATGATGTGCAGTGGGTCCAAAGTGGGACACATGGAAAATCGCGAGGTGGGCATGAGTGGGATGAAATTATGATCAACCTGTAAGATTACAAGCATAATTACTCAGGTAGAATTGATTAAATTGGGACCAAATGAGAAAGGAAGTCACGGAGCAAGCAGACATGAATAAAGAATAGAGGCTTTTCTTGGATTTTTCAAGGTGATTGATACCTATTTAAAGGATTGATCCCTAAGGCTAGGGATAGAGCTTAGAAGAGCAGCACCTGCCTGGCAAGTGCAAGGTTGTTAGTTGACGTCCTGGAATACCAGTTTCTCTGATGTTTATCCCTAGGGAGGTATGTGGGTGCATTTTGTATAATCTTTTGTCCTGAGGGCTGGCCCACAGCAGAAGTGCTCTCTCTCCCACAGTTGCAAAGTATCTCATCTTCCATCCTGGCTGCTTCAGGGGCCTAGCACTGACTGACTGCCTATATTTCTATCTAACTCAATTGCCTACAACAGTTTGTGAAAACACCTATTTAAATAGAGAAAAGGGACCAGGTATAGTGGTACACATCTGTAATTCCAGCACTTGGGAAGCTGAGGCAGGAGGATTGCTGCAAGTTGAGGCCAGCCTGGGCTACATAGTGAGTTTAACATCAGCCTGAACTACATAGCAAGACCCTGTCTCAATAAATAATAAATAAGAGAGCAGTTCATATTTATCTTTTTAAAATATATACTTCATAGAAGAACCTAGCCATCTGTTACTCTCTTACTGATATTAATTTTTTTTTTTTTTTTTTTTTTTGTGGAACTGGGGATTGAACTCAGGCCCTTGTGCTTGCCAGGGAAGCACTTATTCCACTGAGCCATCCCCCCAGCCCCTGATATTAATTTTTTAACTAAATACCTTATGATAACAACTTTTCATATAGTTCATCTTTCTCCCCTAGATATCATCAGGGATTTATGGCCTTTCACAAACTCAGTTTGTATAGATGAAGTGTGTAATTTGGGATGTTCAGCGTCTCCTAGGTGAACTACCCGAGAGGGCCCTTCTGTGTATATTCCTGGTCCTTGGACCAGCAAGTTGGCTCAGTAGAATAAGCACTTTCAGGGCAAGCACAAGGGCCTGAATTCAATCCCTGGTTCCGCAAAAAAAAAAA